TCTGCAAGCCAGGTATGCTGGCCAATGAGTAGGAAGGACTGGAGAGGAAATGCAAGGACTAGGGATGCCTGAACACCCACCAGTTTGGCTCATGTCCTGTTTGCCAACTGTGAATAAAGACCTGCTTTTTTTGGCGATCAGTTCAACAGTTTGGTGACCTGTTCAAGGGTGTTCTGCAGGCTGTTTCACTGTATTCATTACCAACCATGCAGTGCAGCGCAATTGGCTTTTTGTTCATGTGCATTCTCACACAACCTGATTGAGTGCTTTTACTCCTTGCTGCATAAGGCAACTGTTTAGACAGACAATTAGATCATTCAGAAATCATATAAAACAGTAATCAAATAATGCTGATTTTCCAATAAAATCCTACCCTTCGGTATTCGTCCTTGTGATGCTAATGGCTGCTGGCCAGTTGGAATTGACCTGCTCAGTTTTGGAAAAACCCGATGCAAACTGGTTTGGCAGAGATTTGTGGAATCACAGCTGCTCAGTATGAACTGAACAGGTACAGTGATCGATTCACACCTGATCACCACCTTCGAACATGGTAAGTTTGACATGCAAACACGTTCATGCAAAAATTCACAGCATCCCTAGTGAGGAGAAGGTTTTCCTTACAGGGCCAGATCAAGGAATTTTAGCACCCCAACTTAGCAAGGTACACGTATCCCCTTGTGTGATGAGTCTGAAGTGGTGTGAGGGAAGGAGAGGACGTCAATCTTCTCCTGCATTGCTGGTGAGTGGCAGTCACCTGATACCCTGCAGGTCACTGGGAACCTCCAGTTTGGTGTAGTGGTTAAGTGTGCGGACTCTAATCTGGGAGAACCGGGTTCGATTCCCCACTCCTCCACTTGCACCTGGCTGGATGACCTTGGGCAAGCCTTAGTTCTGATAAGAGCTGTTGGTTTTCCTTACAGGGCCAGATCAAGGAATTTTAGCACCCCAACTTAGCAAGGTACACGTATCCCCTTGTGTGATGAGTCTGAAGTGGTGTGAGGGAAGGAGAGGACGTCAATCTTCTCCTGCATTGCTGGTGAGTGGCAGTCACCTGATACCCTCCAGGTCACTGGGAACCTCCTTATTGTGGCTTCAGAGGAGAACTGTTCTTACTTTCGGGGTACAGAGAGTCTTTTGCTGCCCTGAAGAAATGAGAACTCCACCTGCCCCCACATTCACACATACGTTAGCATGCACAGTTGCATATAAACATAGCCAAACAAATGAGCAAGAGTTTGGTGGGATGCGGCTTCCTTGTTTCAGTTTTTAGCTTCAAGAAGAAGAAGAGGAAGAGATTGGATTTATACCCCACCCTTCACTACCCAAAGGTGTCTCAGAGCGGCTTACAAACTCCTTTCCCTTCCCCTCCCCACAACAGACACCCTGTGAGGTAGGTGGGGCTGAGAGAGCTCTTGACAGAAACTGCTCTTTTTCAAGAACAGCTCTTATCAGAACTAAGGCTTGCCCAAGGTCATCCAGCCAGGTGCAAGTGGAGGAGTGGGGAATCAAACCCGTTCTCCCAGATTAGAGTCCGCGCACTTAACCACTACTCCAAACTTAACTGTCGCCTTATTGTACTCCGGATAAATTAATCTTGTCGAAATACAGACTAGAAGAGGTCACCTGCAAGTTGAGGAGATATTGGCCGGGGGGGGGGGGGGGGAGAGGCGGGGATATGCCGCTCCCAAACATCCTTTCCAAGGCATAGCAGAAGTAGAGGACTTTGGTACCCCAACTGAGCTGATTCCCCGGCCAAGCCACCCAATGGGAGGCGCAATGAGGGTGCTTCCCAGCCAGCTGTACCAGGGGGGAGGTAGTGACTGGTGTCCATCCTGAGCAGCACTGAAGAGGCTTGGCTTGGCTTGGCTTGGACCCCAGGCAGCTGTGCCTCAGGCCCAGGAAGGGGTGGGTGTACCTCACTTGGGGCAACAGAATAACCTTTAACTGCCTCTGCATTCCAGGATGTGTCCTCACTTAACATCCCAAGGGCCAGGCTAGCCATAGAGGTAAACTTTCCTCTAGCTAGGCCTCCTGTGCCTTCAACGGTTTTAGAACAAGTAGATATTATGGTTTCCAACTAACCAGGAAAAAGAAGCCTGTCCTTTTAGCAAAAGACTGTAATACCAATTCCAATTAACCTTTATTGGCATAACGACTGTAATACAGAAGTTGGTGGGTGGAGTGTTTTGCAGCATGGCTGTATCCCAGCCAGAGGCACATTTAAAGAGTTGTAAGAAGGATGAGTTCCAAAGTTGGTGGCCACAGCAGGGGAAAGGTTGGCTTAAGGCATGCCCCTGCTCTCATTCCCCAGTCGGCAGTATGGGGATAATACGGCTGGTCTACCTTACAAGGTTGGAGTAGGCAGTAGTGAAAAAATACACATGAAGTGTTTTGAATAATTCCAGAAACATTACATAAATGCTAACTATCCTTGTTACTTCCTGAATGCTAGAACATAACTTGCAAGAGAGAAAGAGGGGAAGAATTATGCAAATGTATTAGGGGCAGGTTCAAAGATTTGTGGGAAATGGAGGGTTAGGGCAGGAAATGGAGCGAAACAAAAGAGGAGAGGAAACTGGGAGAGAGAACCTTGGAATCCTGTTTCTGTGTTTTGATTTTGTCTTCTGCCAACTCCCCCCCCAAAAAAACATCCTGCTAATTTTCAGTTCTTTTGCTCTATTTTCATGAGAACTAGAAACTTGGAGCTCTGGATCTGGCGTTCTGAGGAGGCCCACATGGATTTTAACTCAAAAGCAAGATTCAACAAGCCCTGTCCATGCTAAAAGTCAGAGCAGCATAGTCATTCGAGGGCTGCACTAGGGTCCGGGAGGCCCAGGTTCAAATCCCCACTCTGCCTTGAAAGCTTGCTGAATGACCTTGGGCCAGTCTTTCTGTCTCGCAGCCTAACCTACATCACAGGTTAGCTGTTGCAAGGATAAAATGAAGGCAGGGAGAATGACTTCAAAAGCCACTTTTCATCCCCAGTGGGGCTTGGAGGAAGTGGGGTATTAAAGTATTTAAATATATCAATAAATCACACAAAGATGCTTCTCGCTGGGCCATTGCGAGTAACAGGTGCTGCCCTGCATGTGCAAAGTAGTTGCCATGCATCAAAACTGTCACAACTTTGTGAAAGGAACATGTAGTGGTTTTCCAGGGCAGCCAAGTTCACACTCACACCTGCCGGGCATTGAGGGGAAAGGAGCATAGCAATGCATAGACATGTGCGTGAACCACCAACTGCGACCACACAGGATTGCCAGATCCCTTGTCGACAGGATGCAGCTGTTGTAGCCACTTGCTGCTGCCTTCAAATGCCTGTTGCAAAATTTCAGGCCATATGAGAAGCTGGTGGTGGTGGTGGTGGTGACCCTATTCTTTTTTTGGCATACGAAGAACCCAGCACTAAGCTGGGCCGGCCGCAATCTCAAACCAACTGAAACTCATCCAATTAAAAAGCTAAACCCACATACGACGAGTCATCAGCCTATCGATGCAGATCTTTAATTTCCGTCATGTGTCGAAACACACAAGAGGAGTAGGGATGAGTCACAGTTTGAATTTGGGCTACATTAACAATTATGCTAAGCAAGCCAGTGCGGCGTAGGGTAGAGAGGTGGAGGACTGCGTAAAAGATGGCTGGTTTCCAGGGGATCGCTGATGGGACCGCACTCTGCTGGGATGTTGGCAAAGGAGGCTGGGTGACGAAGACATCACTGTGTACCGACAAGATGCATCTTGAGCAAGAGCACACACAGAATCACTTGAGACAAGCTGGAAGTCCTGGGAGAAGCCATGGAGATGGAGGGGCTGGGAGGAGGAGGAAACAATTTGGAAATCCCCTCCCCCTAAAGCCATCTCTTTCCAGGATTCTCCAAGTTGCCAGGAGCTTGATCAGGATAAATTTCCCTCCCCACCCTTAACTGACTCTGAACATTCCATGGATCCTGGCGCATCATCATGGTCATGCTCTCACTTTCCCCTTTCCATTAGCTTGCAAAGTAAAGTAAATGTTTTCTTGCATACCTCCCGGGAATGCCCCTGCTGTGTGTGTGAGTGGCTCCAGTATACTGCTTTAGCAATCGATACAAGTCACTTGCCACCCTCATTTATTTTAATTATATTAAAAACATTCTAGGTCACCTTTCCACCCAAATAGGGTTGCTAATTTACGATTAGAGATGGGGGTAAATTAGCGAGGGCTTAACTGTTGAGGGACCTCAAGGGTGTGCACTATTCCTTTGTAAATTTACCACACATCAGTGGATCGCATGGGGGCGGGGCTGGATTCCCCCTCCCCGTGGCAAACCTCTAACACCTCCTTCATGCTGTTCCTAGGGGGAATCTAGGGTGTCCCCCCATCCTGCAGAAGCAGCATTTTGGGCTGCAGGAGGAGGAGATATGGGGAAATGCAACTCTGCTGACAGAAATCTTTTCATCAGCATGAATCTTTGGCAGGATCCAAGCTATAGATTCCAGTAAAAAGAAAAGTAGATCATGTAAAGACACAGCAACCCACTTCTGGTCTTTGTAGTTTGGGAATCCTACTATGACAGTGGGGACTCTCAGTCACTATGTTGATCTTTGAAGATGCTCGGTAACTTCAGAGGATTCAGCATGCAGAAGCAAGATTGCTGATTGGTGTAGATTACAGATGATGCATCCTTCCAGTCTTACAACAGCAGACTCTGATTAGTTTCCAGGAATGATTCCAACTCTTGGGTTTTGCCTTTAAAGTTCTAAATGGTCAGGGCCAGAGACCACCTGCTCCTGTACGAACCTGCCTGTCAGCTAAGATCTTCTGCAAAAGGGCCTGTTCCCAGACCCAGGGACATGAGAAACCCTTGAACACATGGCTGCCACAAGGGTAGCTGTAGATCCAGGTGCCACCAAACCTGGCCATGCCTTTGTGCTAAAAGGACACCCACAATGCACATGAATTAATCTGAGGACACACACACACCAGCTGTGCACATTTTTCAAACAAAGATGCCACTTACTTCTCGGCTCCCGTGGTCCGTCAACAGTCACTTTAATGGCTCGATGATAGGTTGCTACTTGGGTGGGGTTTGTGAAGACTGTGATGGTCAATGTGAAGCTTTTGCCTGGACAAGGAGAAAGAGGATGAGAGAAAAGCATCCATGAGCCAAAGATGTGAGCAAACAGACATGGGTTGCAACACTTTATTTAAGTAGTGGCTTCTCAAGGTTGCTCTCCATCACTACCTCATTTGAACAGATGCCCTGATACCAGTACCTAAGACCACAGAAGTGAACTAGTCAGAGGGAGTAAAATTAACCATCTGAAACTAAAGGTTCTTGGACAAACTGGCTTATGATGTGGAGAGAAGCAGAGCATAGACTCAGTCCCTCCCATCACCAGTTTAAAGGATCATGTAAGTTGTAATGTGAAAAGACCTCCACCTGAGATCCTGGAGAGACTCTGCCAGTCAGAGTAGACAAGAACTATAGTTCCCTCTAACCTAAACTAGGGAGTGCTGGCACACAAAATTTTAACAGGCAGCACAGAGATTACTGCTTCAACCCACAAGGCATTTTCCCCTCCATTGAAAACAAGGGAGGATGTGGGCACCTCCTTCTGGGGCTCATAGGATTGGACCCTCTGGTCCAGTCTTTTTGTAACTTGGGGTGTGTGTGTGAGGAGAGGCACCAGCAGTTATGATGCAAATTTGGTGCCTCTACCTAAAAAAAACAGCCCCCCAGAACCCCAGATCCATTCTCCATTATAGCCTATGGGGCCCATTGATTATAATGGTCACCATAGGCTACAATGGAGCCAGGAGGAAAAAAAAACATTATTTGCACACCCCTATTATGCTTTTCAGTATGATTTGTAAGCTGCCTTGACTCACAGGGAAAAATGGGATATAAATATTTGAATAAATAAGTAGTTTGGGCAGTTTGATAACATTTAAGAAGCTTCCTGTTTGTTAGGTTAGGCACGGTTCTGACAGTGATTGTTCCTCCTCTGTTATACTTGACCTGTAATGTTGCTTGTTATATTTCACTTTAAAAAAACAAAGTAGACTGAAAGAGTTATTCTCCCCCTAAGTGCTGGTATGTTTTCTAAGGCTCAGCACAGGGTGAGAGTCCAAGGCCAGGTCTACCAATATAGTGGAAAGGGGTGGGTAGACCTCTTCTCTGGAGACCAGGTCTACCAATATAGTGGAATGGGGTGGATGAAATTTGACTTAATTCTGTTTTCTATTATAATGTTTAAATTATTCTTAAAATATAGTTTAAATGTAATTTAAAATAACTTACTCTAAGATTTTAAAAGATTATGGAAGTGATGTTCTAAAAAAGTGATTTACGCGTTAGTCATACGTAGACTTGCTCACAACTTTAATGCTACTAGCTTATTTCGCTTACGAGGTAGAATTTCTGCTCACAACACTGTGGAGCTTAGAGGAAATATTGGGCAAGACTGACCTTGATAGACCAATAGCCTGATTCATAATACGGCAGCTTCATGTTTTCACATTCATGGGGAGCAACTGTGGCTCAGCAGGAGAGCATCTGCTTTGTACTGAGGTCCAGGGTTCAATTCCCAGAATCTCCAGTTAAAAGGATGAAGTTGGTGATGGGAGAAGACCTATTCCTGAGACCCTGGACAGCCACTGCCTATCAGAGCAGTCAGCTCACTATGGTCTGGCTCCTCCTTGGCTCAGTCATAAAGCACCAGCCTTGCACATAGAAGGTCCCACGTTCAATTCCTGGTATCCTCGGTCAGATGACTGGGAGCAGGCACTGGGCAAGAATCCCACCCTCCACTCAAGACCCCAAAGCACCGCTGTCCCCCACTTCAGAAAAACCATGTTGGGAGGCACCTGGTAAAAATAAAGCTTCATATGCTCAAACTGGAAACCTAACATATCACCACATTCTGATGGCCAGCGGTTGATGTGCATGAGCCCAGTTTATACACCAGATTCACACGTGCGCTCTGATCCCTGTCCCTTGAATGGAGCATGATGAATGAGTCCTGGCTAGAAATTAACTCCAGCTATCAGTGATGTATGAATGGAGGCATGTGAGTTACCTGGAGTTAGCTTTCCTTTTACTAGCTGGGTCTCTTGTGCATGTGTAAAGTGCCAACAAGTTGCAGCCGATTTATGGCAAACCCACAGGGTTTTCAGGGTAAATGATTAAGCACAGGTGGTTTGCCATTGCCTTCTTCTGCAAAGTCTTCTTTGGTGGTCTCTCATCAAAGCAACAACCCAGATGAACTTCTGAGATCTGATGAGATCACGCTATAATACACCATTCTACCTTCCCAGCTGGGTCTCTTAACCTGGATTAAATTCTGCTTTAGAATCCTGGTTACTGGGGGAGGGAGGGGGACTAGCTTCAGTCTACCAACATACCCTGTATTTTTATGTCACAGAGAGCTGGGATTTTTTTTTTTAACAACATAAGGAAATAAATCAAATGTTTGCATTTAGAAATGGTGTAGTCCAAAGTGAGCTGAGGCATGTGATTAGGCTGGGCATTATAGTTGCCTGTTTCCTTCTGCTCTGCCCAGCAAAGTCTGGAGGCTTCCTCCCTCCTTACATTCATCCCCAAAATGCCACAGTAAAGTACTCCTACTGTGGAAACTTCCATTGCATTTGCACTGCCAAAAATTCAAACATGCTGAGAAAATTGCAGCAATGGAAAAGCTATTGTTTTGCTTCAGCGGAAAAGACGAGGGCCGTCTCTGGGCTTTTGTTTAGCGTAACAACTCAAAAGGTTAAAAACCAAGAACTCAGCCGTTTATTAGAACCAACCCAAGTGACAGACAACAGCGTGTGAGCTTTCCAATTCTCTAGAACTCTTCCATCAAGATGCTCAATAAATTCCACTGACTGGATAGGGTTGCCAGCAAAATGGGGGCACAGACTTTAAAATCAACATGGGCAAAGTGGTAACATCACTTCCCATTTCAGAACTGGAAGTGCTGTCATGACATTGCACAATGCTCTATGAATTTCCCAAATCTCTGGGAAATGTGGAGAGTGCTGGTCAACAACATAATGTCACTTCCACTTCTAAAACTGCAAGTGACATCACAGTATCACTGTTGAGACACAGAAGGTTCTGTGACTGTCCACCTTTGTGGTTCCAGCTCAGCCCCAAGGCCAGCAAAGAAGAAGAGATTGGATTTATACCCCACCCTTCACTACCCAATGGAGTCTCCTTCCCCTCCCCACAACAGACACACTGTGAGGTAGGTGGGGCTGAAAGAGCTCTGACAGAAACTGCTCTTTTTCAATAACAGCTGTGCCAGAACTATGGCTTGCCCAAGATCATCCAGCAGGTGCAAGTGGAGGAGTGAGGAATCAAACCCAGTTCTCCCAGATTAGAGTCCGCGCACTTAACCACTACACCACTTAACCACTACACCACGCACTTAACCACTACACCAAAGCCTCGGACACAGAGAGGGGAGGGAGTTAACCACACCTTGTCCCTCCTTCTCTCTTCCCAAGTCTCTTCCCTGGCCTGCTGTTTGGCTCCTTGTATAGGCCAGGCTTAATGATAGACATTGTCCGCCATGCTGCCATTGTATATGGAGGGGGGAAGGAGGCCACTGGGTGAGCATCTTCATGTTCTAGAATGTTAGCTTTCACTTCTCCTGCTGTGTCCTATCTACTAGCCTGACCTTGGTACTTCACTCAGTTTGCCCTGCCTGAAAACCGGCCCCTGTTGGAACTTCCGGTTTACGAAGCAGCGATGGTAGACGCTCTCCCCGAGCACCGGGAAGGCGAATCGCACACCAGCGGCCTGGAGGGGTGCCACCTCAAGTGAAACTCCTTAATCACTCCTTAATCCCCAACCCCGTACCCCAGCATGGGTGACGAGGATGGCAGGGGTGTCCTGGTCACTACCACGGAACAGGTTCTGACCACAACAGCACAGATCCCTGCTACGACTGGTGCAAGTGGAGGGCTCAGGTATGAGAAGCCCTGGCGGGATCCCTACTCATGGGCTCGCTTCTCCACCGACACCCAAGAGTTATGGATCACTCCCCCCCGGCCGGGGGGTGCCAGCCGCTACGGCTACCTTTCCTACTACGAGAGTGGATATGACTCCGGGAAGTATGGAGGGGCAGGCGAGGATCGGCTGGAATTAGTGAAATGCCAGCTATTAGCCCAACAAGAAGAGATGCGGCGTGAGATGCATGAGTTGATGCTGGATATCCCTCGGCTGGTGGCCACTACAGTTCAGCATGAGCTATGACTGCAGCAACCGGATGCACCAGTGGCTCCGCCGGCACAGCAGCCTCCTCCCGGGCAACTAGCTCCCTCTGGACCGGCACCGCTAACGTTGGTGTCAGTACCCAGGGGGGCCTAGGGTTCCCACCAGGCCACCCGCTCCACCACCCGGGGTGCCAGCTGGGCCCCCTGTACCCAGATTTGACCGTCCCAAGGAGCTACTGGATGCCACCTTCGACGGCAACCCTGACAAGCTAGTGTTTTTCCTACATGGGCTGGAACTGTGCGAGGTGCAAGTATTTATTTGGGCTTTGAGAAGGCAGTATGAAGACCCCATGGAGGGGGAGAAAACCTGAACCGCTCTACGGGCCCTGAAGCAAGGGAGTCGTTCAGTGCGTGAATACTCCGATGAGTTCAAGATGCATGTGGCCAAGATCCAAGGATGGCCCGAACCCGTGTTTCTGAAACAGTATTGGCTAGGGCTGAACCATCAGATTTGGGAAGCTGTCCTACGCAACGTGAACCCGATATCCTTGGCGGCCTGGGTGAGAGAAGCGGGAAATGCAGAGAACCACCTCCAGGTGATTAAGTTGACTGCACTGAAAGTGTACCTGAAGACCCCAGGGGTTATACCGAGGACCCCTCATCCCAAGCTGAAAGAACCCGTGCGCAATCAGCGGATGTGCCAGGGGCTCTGCCTCTGCTGCGGAGAAGTGGGCTACTATGCAACTTTCTGCCCTGCAGATCACTGAATTGAATACTTCTACAGCCAATATAGAAATTAAAACACAAGAAATGGAGATAGGATAAAAGAGACAGACAAAACAATCAACGATGGAACAAGATATAACAAGACTACAGATGACTACATTCAGGGGATAAAGAAAA